CTGGAAGATGCACATGTGTGTATACCCAGTGTGTTTAGCGAGGACTTAACACAAACACAGGACTTTTCCCACGTGGGACCAGTTGCACTGTATCTACACCATCACATGGCCCTAACTCTGTCTCTGAATTTCTAGCAAATGCAACAATGATGACAACAAAATGAAATAACTGGTGCAACCATTGGAAAAAAAGACACAAAACTAAAATAAAATTTGGCAGAACTGAGCCAGCCCTGTAGCCTAGTGTTAAGGAAGCCAGATCCCACATGGTCAACCACAGTTCAAATCCCAGCCTCAACAGCTCACACCAGGCACTTGTGTATACAATGCCCAAAATTCTCACAGGATAGAAAAATGGAGGAAAAGGGATTACAGAGTGACTGTGTCCTACTGGAGGTTTGTTATCCCTCTCATTCTTTCTCTGTTTCTCTGAGCACGCAAGCCCTCTGGCAATTAAACAAAAAAGTTTTACCAGAACTAACAAGAGAATTTGGTAAAATAGCCAGATATAAACATTTTTAAAATCAATAACTCTTTTTGGGGAGGATACCAGATCTGTAACTCAGTGGTTAAGAGAGCCAGATATCACATGGCTAATCATAGTTGAAATCCCATCTCCTGTGGCTTGAAAACCACACCTGGAGTGTGCATGTCCATGCCCAAAATCCTGACAGGAAGAGGAAACTGAAGAAAAAGGACTGCAGCATGATCATGCCCCATTTGAAAGTGCTTTCTCCCTCTATCTCTCTTTCTCTAGCATATATGCCCTCTGACAATTAAAAAACATAACTTTTTGTCTTCTAGCAAAAAATACTTGGGAATAGAACAAGAAAAATATTTCACTCATATCAGGAGAAAAAAAGCTATTAGTTTTTGAGAAACAAATGTATCAAGAAAAACATAGGGCATATATGAAGAAAAAGATCAATCTAATTGAAATGAGATCTGAACAGATGTAAAGAGATAACATTTCTTAGATAAAAAGAGCTACATAATTAGGAAATTCAAATATAAATTTAATGCAGTTCTACTTAGAATTCCAATAGGGTTTGAAGGGAGTGAGTAAAAGTGATCTCAAAATTTGTATGCAGGAAAAAATATCAAGAAATTATGAAGAAAAATATTTTTTAAAGCTAATGTAATCAGGGACCAACAGATGGCATAATGGGTATATTGCTGGACTCCCATGTAGTCAACTGCAGTTCAAGCCCTGGACCCGATGTCTTAAAACTCACATCAGGTGTGTGTTCGTGCGTGCCCAAAATACTGAAAGGAGAATGGAGGAGAAGGGATTGAGGTGTGGCCATCCTCCCTGATTTCTCACTTTCAGTCTCTGTCTCTCTGGTGAGCGCATTGACCCTATACCAAAAATTTCTCTTAAAAATAAAAACTAATGTAATTAAATCAGTATGATGTGAGTATGAGAATAGGCAAATAGAAGAAACTTAATACAGAACCCATAAATAGATTATAGTATATAAAACATTTAACAGCTAACAAAGATCATAGTTTAGTTCACAGGGAAAAGCAGAGATTATTTAAGATATTATTCTAGTACAACTGGCTATCCATTTTTAAGTAAAAATTATTAGCCAATACTGGAAATCCAAAAGTTATATAAGAATAATATTTGCATAAGAAAAAAATGTAAAAAATTATATGTAAATATATACCATCAGCAAAGTCAATACATACAGATTTGGTAAATATTTGTAACAATGATGATAGATGAGGGGCTAATGTCGAAAATATACCAAGAAATCTAATAAATTAAGAAAAATATAAAAAAGCCATAGGAAACTGGGAAGATGATATAAAAAGAAAATTCAAAGAACAAAAAAATAGATAATTCTGGGGACCAGCAGATGACGTAATGGCTAAAACGCCGAACTCCCATGTAGTCG